ACCTTTAATCCCAGCACTCGGGAGTCCGAGGCAGGAGATCTCTGTGAGTTCAAGACCAGCCTGTTCTCCAGAGCGAGTGCCAAGACAGCCAGGGCCACATAGTAAGACCCTGCCTCAACCTCTTATCACTGAATTAAGCTTGGCTGTTTACATCATGTCACTCCCTTGTCTCAATGGCAGATTATGGATTCCTCTAGTTGGCATTTAAAGATATTTCTTATATTGACAGGTTGCATCTTGTCCCTTCTCCCCCCGGCAGATCTGATCAGTCTACAGCAATACTGATGGCAGCTTGGGTTCTCCCAGGCCCCGGCCGCTGTGGAACTTCTGCCTGCCTCTCCAGATGCAGTTCGAGTGGCTTCCAATCTGGTACCACCAATTCCTGAGACACATAAAAGCCATCAAGGGAAACTTTGTTGACACAGCAGATCTGCTCAGTCACACTGTTCTTGTGTCTCCAGTGTTTTCAAGAGCTGTGCATCTGAAAGGAGTATTGGAGAGCATCACACATCCTTTTTGTGGCTGCTATATATAGATATATGCGTATATCTCAATCATCATCCCCATACTGCAACAATCATATAATTTTTATAACTACAAATGTTGCACTAATAACTATAAAAAGAGGATTAATGAAAGGGTCTTTCTTGGCGCTAAAGTGCTTGCCTCAAAAGCATGAAGAGTGGTGTTTGAATCTCCAGAACCTACGTAAAAGCAGGGGGATACAGTGGCCCAAGTGTTTGAAAGTCCAGGACAAGGGATTCCTGGAGCAAGCTGGCTATTTGTATAGAGACCCAGCAAATGAGCTCTGGGCTCAATTAAGAGACCAGAAGGTGGAGAGTAACTAAGGAATATTCCAGATGTCAACCTCAAGTCTCCACATACCCCTGTACAAAACTGCACATTCATTCACACAAACACACACCACATAAATATATGCACGAGAAAAACATTGTAAAGTACTGATCAAAAGGGGCTCTGGAAACTGTGACTTTTGGTCAAGGGAATTGAGGAGCCCTATATTCCAATATATGTTATTTATAAGAAACTTGTTTTTGAGCCAGGCAGTGGTGGCACACACCTTTGATCCCAGCACTCAGGAAGCAGAGGAAGGCAGATCTCTGTGAATTCAAGGCCAGCCTGAACAAAATGAGTTTGAGGACAGTCAGGGCTACACAGAGAAACCCTGTCTCGAAAAACCAAAGAGAAAAAAAAAAAGAAAGAAAAAGAAAAACTTGGTTTTAAAAGGGGGGCTGGAGAGATGGTTCAGTGATTAAGCTCACTGGCTGTTCTTCCAGAGGATCCAGGTTTGATCCTGGCACCAACATGGTGGCTCACAACCATCTGTAATTCCAGGTCCAGAAAATCTGATGCCCTCTTCTGGCCTTTACAGGCACTGAATGCACATGGCACACAGACATTCATGCAGGTAAAACACCCATGCATGTAAAATAAATATGTAAATAAAACCTTTAAAACAAATAAGAAGTTTCTCTTAATATAAAGACACAGATACATTGAAGCGAAAGGACCCCTCTCGTGTGACGGCCCTTGCTGATAACCCTGGTTTTCAGGAGGGAGAAACAGGAGGCAAAAGATCCAAAGATCCAGACATCAAAATCGGTTTAGGCAGAAAAAAAGTAAAAGGATGAAGAAAAATGGACCATACCAATATTGACCAAAATAGAGATGGAGTAATCATATTGATTTTAGACCACAAAGTCCTTTACGGAAAGAAAATTATCAAGGGTAAAGAGTGGCATTAAATAATGATAAAGAGGTCAGTTCTCCCAGAAGACACAATAGTTCTTACTGTTGGCAGCTGAAGTGCCAGGAAAAGCCTCACCTGTGCTAAAGATTCTGTTATGCTGATTAACTGATTGGAAGTTCCGTGTTTGGGGAGAGTTTGGAATGTTGCAGGTCTAGAGCCAACTTATCTTGCCTATCATTAGCCCTATTAATAGCCATTCATAGCCCACTTCTGGTCTGACCTAGCACCCTTATGACTGTCAGGTGACATCTTTTGGAATATACAGTTTCCACCATCCCAGAGCTGAGACCATCAGCTAGCATCTGCCGCCCAGCTAGGGCTTCTTTGCTGGGCATGCCTACCTGATGGTCTCACCAATGTATGTGAGATTGCCTTGATTCATGATTTTCCTTTGTTTTATTATTATAACAATTTCATCAAACTATTCTCATGTTGAAACACAGTATTGGGGCACTCTGATTCCATGTTCCCAGGTCATGGCCACTCATGTTAGTTCCAGTATAAACCAACGCTTAATCCCTTTGAAGTGAGAGCTGTGTCCTGTGTCAGCACCTAGTAGGAAAGGGTCAGAATATGTAAGGCAAAAACTCTCAGAAGTTCAAGGTAAACCCACTATCATATTGACAATTTCAACTATTTGCCCCTACTAAACAATAGCTCTCAGAAACAGAAAGTCTGGAAGGGCATAACTGAACCGAACAACAATCAATCAATTGGATCTAACTGGAGGGTAAAAATACTTTCTCCAGCCAGCTAGTAGTGGCCCACACCTTCAATCCCAGCACTTGGGAAGCAGAGGCAGGTGGATCTCTGTGATTTCCAGGCCAGCCTGCTCTACAGAGTGAGTTCCAGGACAGCTGAGGCTACACAGAGAAACCCTGTCTCAAAAAATCAAAATGAAACAAGCCCAAAACAAAACAAACAAAAACCCCAAATAAGCAAAACTGAATGGACTCAGTATGTTGCACGTATCTATACATCTGTATCTATCTATACACATGTATGTACACATACATAGGTGTGTGAGTAAAACAATAATCCAGAGGAAATCATGAAGTTGAGATGGAGAGGGGAGGACCCAGAAGGAGCTGGGGAGTGTGGGGTAGTGATTATGTAAATATGTACACACATGAAATTTTCAAAAATGATAAAATACATGTTAGTGATTAAAATCACAATTAAATTTGTATTCTTTAAAATGTTTTCTAGCTCAGTATATACTTGTTAATGTTATGAGTACTTACTAGTGTATGGAGCTATGAAAAGACAAAAAAAAAAAAAAAAAGACAAATTTAATGATCTTGTGTTTCTTGCTTGCCGGTCAAATCTGAAATAACTTTTAAAAAGTTATTGACTTCTTAACTCTAATTTCTTGTAATAAACGAGATGATTGGTATTTTAATGATAATAAATAAGGCAGTATTATTTATTTTCTCAGATATTGTAATAGTTTGTCCATTACACATATGAACAAACTTCAAATTCCAAAGAAAGCAAAGTCGTATTTGTGTTGGGAAGGAAGGATAGTGTTTCATAAACAAATCCTAATAGACATACAGAAAGTGCTGGCAAGGTGGCTCCAGGTCAAGGCGCTTGCCCCCTAGCCTGACTACCTGAGTTCTCTATCTAGGACCATATGGTGGAAGGAGATCCAAATCCCATTTGTTATCTTCTGAACTCCACACCTGTGCCACACACGTACAATAAATATCTTTTTTTTCTTTTTTCGAGACAGGGTTTCTCTGTATAGCTTTGGAGCCTATCCTGGCACTCGCTCTGGAGACCAGGCTGGCCTCGAACTCACAGAGATCCGCCTGCCTCTACCTCCCAAGTGCTGGGATTAAAGGCGTGCGCCACCAACGCCCGGCTAAATATCTTTTTTGAAAAGACAGAAAAATATAAAAACTCCAATTGACTAAGTAGGCTGTTACAGCGCCCTGAGCCTCCTAGTGAACCTTAAGCCGCAAAATGTCAGAGGCAAATCCTCTGTCCTATTTTATGAAATCCCAATGTGGAGGAACAAGGATGTTCCACCCAGAATGAGAAATACAAGAGGACTTTCTTTTTTTGCATAAAAAATCACGTGTGTGTGTGTGTGTGTGTGTGTGTGTGTGTGTGTGTGTGTGTAAGGAAGGGTCTAAGATTCCCCTGGAGCTGGAGGTACTGGTAGTTGTGAGCTGCCTGGTGCGGGTGCTGGGAATAGAACTCTGGTCCTCTACAAGAACAGTATGTTCTCTTAATTTAAGACAGCGCTCCGTTTTTATTTTATTTAGACAGGGTCTCACAATGTAGACTAGACTGGCTTCGAATCCACGGAGATACGTTTGTCTCTTGACTACAGAGATTAAAGGCGACAACTCCCCCTCAGACTAGATTTCCAGCCCGAGGTCCTCTTTTCAGCTGTGAGGGAAAAATGCCTTCTAGTGCTGTCATCTGTAACGCGGACGATGGGAGCTGCTGCTCAGTCCCGCCGAGCCCAGCAGCCTGTGAGAGGCGAGCGAGCGAGCGAGCGAGCATGTTGGAAGACACAGAGGAAAGATGAGGGGACAAAGGAAAAATGCGCAGTCTGGGTTTTAACCAGTTTCTGCAGTGGACTGGTGGAGCCGGGCGGAAGGCACGCAGGTTGAGCCGTTCCCTGGGGAGGACTGCAGGGAGGACTGCAAGGGCGCACTGCAGCCTTTGCGCAGAGCCTGCGTATGCACGGGAAGGGTGGGCCAGGGATGCGGCAGTCGGCTCCTGAACCGTGGCTCCTCTATTCCAATTGTCCAGTTCGCTGACAAAAAAGGCTCCACTCTCGTACAAGGACGATCACAGACGCAGGAAGGGGACACTTGGAAGTTCAGGGAGCAACCGCGGTGCGACAACCCTACCGCCTCCGAGCAAAGCCGCAGACCGCCACCCAGTGGTCGGTTTGGGTACTACCTGGAAAACGCCGTGGAAAGCCTGGCACTGCGGCATCTGGGAGCCAATGAGCTCTCGGGCCGCTTAGCTGATTTCTTTTATCCATTAGTTGCTCTAGCTGTCAATCAATCATTTACGCGGCTTTTATTGGAGGTAGCTTCAGTCATTCTCTGTAAACCACGAATCATATGTTTCCGTCTCCGCCCGTCTCTTACGCCTTTAGCTCGCCTCTGCGTCTGACCCATTGGCTAGATGAGGTCCTGCCTCTCTGTTTACCGGAAACGAAAGGTCTCCTATTCCCATTGGCTGAAATTTGCGAGCGGTGGTTGTCTATCAAATTTATGAACTGACGTTAGCGTCCCGGAAGTTCGGCCCCGGAAAGGGCGGGCTTTGCAAAGATGGCGGCTCCGGTGAGTTCTAACTCGTTGCTTCTTCCCGTAGCTCCCGTGGACGCTGCTTTTCGCCCCCGCGGATCGAGGCAAACGTCGTCACCGTGGAAGAGCGGTGATGAAATTGTTTCGGGGATATGCTCGCCCTGACACAGCAGCGTTCTAAGTCAGATGAGAGAGAGGCGGGACAGATGCTGCATGCTGGCTGGTTCCGGACAGGGAGCTCACACAAAAGTATCCTTCAGAATGAGCTTATTGCGAGAGCCTCGAGACCACGGTGGGCCGTGATCCGGCCTTGCGGTGGGGGAATGTGACCAGGACAGAGCGGTCGCGTACTACCGCGAGGTTTGGGGGTGTGGTGGGAGGACTGGCTTCGAGCCGAGGCTGCGGCAAAAACGACCCAAAATCTCGAATATTTTGAAAGAAAGGAGGGAATTTGGTAGGCAGTTCGTTCTGACCACCATGTCCTGTCCGCTATCTATCTGTAGGAGGTGCCGGAGTCAGACGTGTCAAGTTCGATAACACTTTTGAAAAACCTCCAGGAGCAGGTGAGTAGTGTCTCTTTTTAAAATAAATTAGTCAGGGGTTAGCCTTGAGTTTGTATGTCTTATCTATACACTTTGATGATTTAGGGACAGATATTTGAATACTACCGTAAGTATCGAATAAAAGCCTTTCGTACCATAGTTCAAGGTATTTCATTTCTGCACCCAAAGAAATACAGGAAACTGTTTTTTAAATTATACCCAAACTCCTTTGTTTAAACAACTGAGAAAACAGATGCTTGGCAGTAGTGACATGTCACTCTAAGTGCCAGTTAATACGCATTTACAGAGTCTGATGTTTTGTAAGTTCTGTTGCTACAGATAAAATTAGAGTCCTCAGCCTTTGTGTGTGTAGTGACCCACACCTCTAAACCCAGCACTTGGGAGGCAGAGGAAGGTGGATCTCTGTGAATTCGAGGTCATAAGCCTGATCTATAAAGTGAGTTCCAAGAAGCCAGGGCTACACAGAGAAAAAAGTTACAGGGACTGTCTTGAAAAAAAGTTACAGGGGCTGGAGAGATGTCTCAGAGGTTAAGAGCAGGCTGTTCTTCCAGAGGTCCTGAGTTCAATTCCCAGCAACCACATGGTGGCTCATAACCATCTATAGTGAGATCTGGTGTCTTCTTCTGGCCTGCAGGCATACATGTAGCAGAAAACTATACATGATAAATAAGTCTTAAAAGAAAAAAAAAAGAGAAAAAGGTTACAGTCCTCATCACCATTGCCCCACTCCTCTCCTCATCCCTTTCTTTGTTGTTGTTGTTGTTGTTTTTTAACGATCTCCTCTTCCAGCTTTAGAAAGAAATAGGAAATTTCTCACTGCCTCTTAAGGAAATGTTGGAAACCCTGTGTTCAGCCACAACATTTCAGATAAAGTTTAGGTGGCATTAATTAGCATTTATCTTTTACTCTTCAAAAACATTACTGGTAGTCCAGGCAGCTATTTGAATTTCATTTGGTTAATTTCAGGTGATGGCTGTAACTGCACAAGTACAAGCCCTGACAAAAAAAGTTCAAGCTGGTACATACTCTACAGAGAAGGTAAGAGTTCTTGAAGAAGGGATGGAGAGGTGACTCCGTGGTTAAGACAGCTTGCCTCTCTTCCAGGGAACCTGAGTTGGTTCCCAGAACTCATGTTTTGTGGCTCACAACTCCAGCTCCAGGTGATCCCATATGTCTTTTGGCCTCCAGAGGTACCCTACATGTGTGGCATGCGTTCTCGCACACACACACACGTAAATCTTTAAAAAAAAAAAAGTACTTGAGGGAATATCCCTTCATATGTGCTTGGTGGTTTTTTGTTTTATTTTGTTTCGTTTTTACTGAAGATTTGTTGTGTGGCATATGTCCTAAGTGTTAGAGCTTCATATAGGAGTAGTATCTGTGCTTTCTTTCTTTCTCTCTTTCTCGCTCTCTTTCTTTCTCCCTCCCTCTCTTTCTTTCTTCCTTTCTTTTTTCTCTTTCTTTCTCTTTCTCCCTTTCTTTCTCTCTCTTTCTCTTTCTTTCTTTCTTTCTTTCTTTCTTTCTTTCTTTCTTTCTCCCTTTCTTTTTTTTTTTTTCTCAAGACAGGGTTTCTCTGTGGCTTTGGAGCCTGTCCTGGAACTAGCTCTTATAGATCAGGCTGGTCTGGAACTCACAGAGATCCACCTGCTTCTGCCTCCTGAGTGCTGGGATTAAAGGCGTGCACTTCCACCGCCCAGCAGTCTCTGTGGTTTCTATGCAAGAACTTGTAGGAATACAGAGCAGAGGACTAGATATGAGTGGCAGTCATTTTACAGAAGTCATTTACAGGAGAGATATGCCAGCCACACAGAGTCCAAAAAGGTATCTCAGAAAGTAATGGGATTTTGAAAAATAAATATGAGCCAGAGATACTCGGGTTTGCAATGTTCTGGGGGGAGTAAATGATTTTGTGACTGGATATACATAACATTTTGTATGTGTGTATATGATGGTGGGTAAGAAGAAAGACTGGAAAAGTCACTCCAGGGAGTCATATAGGACAACTAAGGAGTTGCTCTTTTGTTTCATACAATATTAGATGATGTTAATTGGGGGTGTGGTGGCTTTATACATAGAATTCCCCAGTTTCATTTTTTGTGATTTCAGTCACCTGAGATTAACTGTATTCTGAAAATACTAAGTGTAAAATTTCAGTTGCACCTCTTAAGTTTTAAATAACTTACTGCAGTACATAGTTAACAGTTATTTGGCATTGCTAGTTATTGTTAATCTCTTACTCTATGTTTGTAAATTAAAATTTATCACTGGTATAAGTGCCTAGGAAGAACAGTATCTCTGCCATTGCAAGCATCCATTGACACTTTTGGAGTTTTTGGAGTATATCACTTGTAGGTAAAAATGCCATTAGTCTGTGACAGGATACCATTGACTGAAAGATTTATCCTAATTTGAGATGCTAAAATACAAAGGTGATGCATCTGAAAATTAGATTCAATAACTTCCTCTCTTCTTTGACCTGTTTTTTTTTTTTTTTTTTCCTCCACTCTGTTTTATTCGTTTAGACAGGAACTTGCTATGAAACACAGGCTGGCCTTGAACTCATGATCTTCCACCTTCCAAGTGCTGTAGATTCTCTGATGTGCAGTGAAATGGGCTGGTTTTCAAATTAAAATTTGAAGAGAAATTAGAATTTTATAGTCTATTCTTGGGGATTATTGGTGTCAGTAGAGGAGAACTCTCAACTTCTTCACCTGATTGAGCTGGAAAGCTCTGCTGTTTATGTTGCTTGTTTATTGATCTGGGCTTTTGAAGCAGTCTCACTATATAACCCTGACTAGCCGGCCTTAAGGTTTCGATGATTCTCCTTCCCCTACCTGTGCAGTTCTAAGATTACAGGCTCCAACTGCCATGCTTGGCGGTTTTATACATTGAGGGGTGTTTTTATTTATGTCTATTAACTTTGTGTATTGGTGTTGGTGTTTTGCCTACATGTATGTCTGTGTGAGGATATAGGATCCCCTGGAACTGGAGTTACAGACAGTTGTGAGCTACCATGTGGGTGCTGGGACTAGAATCCTAGTCCTCTGGAAGAGTAACCAATGCTCTTAACCCCTAAGATGTTTCTCCAACTTTTTGTTGTTGTTTTTCAACATAGGGTTTCTTGGTGTAATGGCTCTGGCTGTCCTGGAACTCACTTTGTAGGCCAGGCTGGCCTTGAACTCACAGAGTTCCACCTGCCTCTGCCTCCCAAGTGCTGGGATTAAAGGCATGCACCCCACCCACCCCGCTCTTTCTGCTTGTTTGAGATGGGCTCTCATGTAGCCCTGGCTGGCCTGGAATTTGCTCTGATGCTGGTCTTGACTCCTGATGCTCCTGCTTCCACCTGCAGGTGCACTACTGTACCCAGGTTGTCTTTCTTTTTTTGTTTCTTTTAATAAGAGTAATATGTGCTTGTTGAAAGGTACTTTTTCTCTGAGTGGTAGTAGTGCACACCTTTAATCCAGCACTCAGGAGGCAGAGGCAAAAGGATCTCTGTGAGTTCGAGGCCAGTCTGGTCTCCAGAGCAAGTGCCAGGACAGCCTCCAAAGCTACACAGAGAAACCCTGTCTTCAAAACAAACAAACAAACAAACAAAAAAAAAAAAAAAAAAAAAAAAAAAAAAAAGGAAGGAAGAAAAGAAAAGGTACTTTTTCATAGTACAAGCACTCCATTTCTCTATTATCCTCATCTCTCCAAACAATTTTTTATGCATTACAAAAATGTGTGCAGGGGCTTGAGAGATGGTTCAGAGGTTAAGAGCAGTGGCTGCTCTTCCAGTGGTCCTGAGTTCAATTCCCAGCAACCACATGGTGGCTCACAACCATCCATTATGAGTTCTGGTGCCTTCTTCTGGTGTGCAGATATACATGGAAGCAGAATGTTGTATACTAAATAAGTAAAATCTTTTTAAAAAAAAAAAATGTGTGCAGCCAGCAAGATGGCTGAGTGAAATCCGTTGTGTACAAACCTGGTAACTTGTTTCATCCCGAAGCTCACCTAATGGAAAGAGAAAGCTGACTCCACAAAGTTGGACTCTGACGTCCATGCATGCAGGCTTGGATATGTGTGCTCACACATCTTACATAATAATAATTTTTTTAAAAAAGTGTAGCCATCACACAACCCCATTGGAACCATATTATAACCACTTTTTACAACTTTTATTGATGTTGATTTAGTTCCATGTCAGTGTATATAAATCATTTGTCTGCCGGGCATGGTGGTGCACACCTTTAATCCCAGCACTCAGGAGGCAGAGGCAAGAGGATCTCTGTGAGTTCAAGGCCAGCCAACGATACACAGAGACACCCTGTCTCAAACAAAACAAACAAAAACAAAAATAAATCATTATCTTATCCATATTGTAATAGGGATAAAATAGGTAATTTTTTGGATAATTTAAAAATCAGTACTCTATGGAGGCTCTTTTGGTTCAAACTTGGGAGGGTCTGAGATGAGGTGGAGGGCGCTGCTGAAGTGCACAATGGCTCAAGGGGCCCCTTTCCCAGAGAACTCTGTGGACTCAGACGTCAGCAGCTATGAGATAGCTCTTGTCAAGTAGCCATTATCCTGGGGGATGTGTGTCGTGCATCCCTCCTCTGGCACCTGAGATTGTGTGCCATGCCGTGCTTGGGAGGTGGAAGCAGGAGGCTCGTGATTTCAGGGTCACCCTTGGCTATAATCAGAGTGTTCTAAGCCAGCCTGGGTTACATGAAATGGATTCCTGATAGTGCTGACTGGCCTTGAACTTGTGGTTCAACCTGCTTTAACCTGCTATTTGCTGAGATTATAGGCATGAGCCTTACTACTCAGCAAATAGTGTTTTGGACTACAGCTCACTGAGTGACCCAGTAACTGCAGGTGAGGAGAGAGATGTTTCACATTCTTACATGGACTAGTTAGGAAAAACTTGGACTTATAAAAACATTATCCTGGTATTTGCCCTGCGTCTCCTCTTGATTCTCTGGCTAAAACTAAGAGTCTGCCTCTTCCTGTTTTGTTTAACTTAGGGTCTGAGCTTCTTGGAAGTAAAGGACCAACTGTTGCTCATGTACCTTATGGATCTGAGCCACCTCATCCTGGACAAAGCCTCGGGAGGATCTCTGCAGGGACACCCTGCAGTTTGGAGGCTGGTGGAACTCCGAACGGTATGAGCCCTTTGCACTTGGAGTCTTGTTTCTGAGGCCGGGACTTCAGGGCTACTGCAGTAGCTCTCGCATAAGTGGGTATTCTCCTGGTTAAGTAAGGAAAGGATGGTTTTGTCTTCATTTGCTCTACTTTGTGAATGTTTTCATTGCCTTATCTGGAACAACAAATCGGACCCTCGAATGTGCCTGATTTAGGGAAGAAAGTGTAATCCTTATAAATTACCACATTGCAGGTTTTAGAAAAACTCCGTCCCTTGGACCAAAAACTGAAATATCAAATTGACAAACTGGTCAAGACTGCAGTGACGGGCAGCCTCAGTAAGTGGCGGACTGTCATAAAGTGTGGGGTCGTTATGAAGTTCCAAATCTTACAAACTCTCTTCCTGTTTCAGGTGAAAATGACCCACTTCGTTTTAAGCCCCATCCCAGCAACATGATAAGCAAGGTAAGGTTTGTGTCCAGCCGAGATTAACCCTGTGGCGACCCTGGTCTCCAGGACTCCAGACTGGCTTGAAATGCTTCCGTATGAGGTGTCCTTTCCCTTCATCTTCTTAGGGTGCTCCAGCTCTGAGCCTTTCTTGTCACTCATCTAAGACTTCCGGAGTTTGCTGGGAGCTTCTTCTTCTTTTGTAGTTGAACTCTGAGGATGAAGAGGAAGACGAAGCAGAGGAGGACCAGTCTGAGGCTGCAGGGAAGAAATCTGTAAAAGGAACATCTAAGAAATACGTCCCACCACGCTTGGTTCCAGTGCATTATGGTATGAGTGGTGGCAGTGGCTTCCTTGGTGGGAATTTTGTTTCTGTTTGTTGTGTTGATTCCAAACCGACCCTTGTGGACTTTTATCACATAGACGAAACAGAAGCAGAACGCGAGCAAAAACGCCTGGACCGGGCCAAGAAACGAGCACTGAGCAGCTCTGTCATTCGTGAGCTTAAGGAGCAATACTCAGATGCCCCGGAGGAAATCCGCGATTCCCGGCACCCTCATGTCACTCGCCAGAGTCAGGAGGATCAGCATAGGTCTGAGTTCTTACAGTTAGGAATTCTTTCAAGTCTGGCACAGGAAAACCAGCATCATATAGAAAGTGAATTGAAAAGCTTGGTGTGATAGTTGAATAATGATGAGTTTGAAGTACAAATAAGAGCTGGGGAAAAAAGTTTTTTATTTTAATTATTCTAATTTTTTTGTTTTGTTTTCTTCTGCCTGCTTAGGCTCAAGCAAATGCTATATAGAGAAGAATATGTTCAGTTCCTTGTGGTAGGGTTATAGTAGACTGCCTTTCATCAAGTCACAGTTCTTACTGGAGTAGAAAGCAGTAAGGATGGGTTTTGTGTTGGTACTGAAGAGTCTTGTGTACATTTAGGAAAACAATAGAAAAACAACTAACTTGAATTCGGACTTACAAGCTTCGCATAGGCACAGTCTTTGTAGCTCATGGTTTGCACAACAGAGCCCATTCAGGGAATCCTGTTTCAAAGAGTCAGAACAGGAGGATTTTCTGTATAAATGATAAATCATTGTGTGGTTGGATCATAGATTAATCCCTAGAGATGAGGGAGGACCCAGCAGAGAGCATTTCAGTGAGGAAGTTTGGTATTGAACACACCACACTTAGCTAAATACTAAAGCCTTAGCTAAATACTGTATTGTCTATAAATGTCCTGTAGTCCCTAAATGAGAATGAGTAAATACTGGGGCCCAAGTTACCCTAGTCTGAATCTTCTGGAAACTTTCTGGCAGGATTAACTATGAAGAGAGCATGATGGTGCGTTTAAGTGTTAGCAAACGAGAGAAAGGACGGCGAAAGCGAGCAAGTGTTATGAGCTCGCAGCTTAATTCCCTCACACACTTCAGCGACATCAGTGCTTTGACAGGAGGAGCTGCTCATCTTGATGAGGTGAGACTGTGGTACAGTGGTGGCAGGCAATTGTGCTTTTAGCCACATTTGTAGGGCTTCGTACTGTGAGCTTGAGAACAGGTGCTGGTCCTTAGAAATGCACTACCATTTCTTCACTTCTGTTTGTCTCCAGGACCAGAATCCTATTAAAAAGCGGAAGAAGATACCTAAGAAAGGCCGGAAGAAGAAAGGTCAGTGAGCTGCTGGGAGTTAGTACCTGGATGGACAGTCTGAGTTGGAATATCACCTCTCAGGAATTGCCATTTCAGGTCTTGCCTCTTTCTTCCATACTAGTCATTAGTCTCTTTAGGTAGGCTTTTATTTATTTGTTTCCCAAGCATGAGATCAGTGTCACTCATAAGGGAGTCTCTGGATTATATTTCTGTGGTCCCACAACTCATGTTCAGGTGTCTGCAAATAGATGTATAGAAACATTACCTGAAGGGACTGCTGTCTTTAACTGGATCCCTCCCTTCTTTTGTGAGTTAGTTCATACTGATGGAGAGGGTACTGCCTTGGACACACCTCTGTTGAGCCCTGCCCTAGATGCCTCTTTCCTGGCCTTTAGCGGTTCCAGCTGTCCTTTGCCTCACTCTTGGTTTCCTTTCATTGCAGGTTTTCGGAGGCGTCGGTGACATGCTTATTCACTTTGTCACCCTGGGGTGCTTCTGGCTTCACTGTATGCAAGTGTTTTCCTTGGGCCCTGCTGACCTTGGACATGTGGGGAGATCTTTACTAAATAAAATTTCCTTTGCTTTTCATACATTGTGTGACTGGAATTGCTGGCTGTGTGGTTGCATTTGCTGAGTGGATGGATAGTGGAAGAGGAAAGATGGTATTCTGGGAGAGATGTTTGATTTGTGGTGGTATATTTTTCCTAGAAGTTGGGAATTGGTTGTTTTACAAAGATAGAGGTAGAATAGCATAACCAGCTCTCCTTAACCCCTTTTGTCCACCTTCCTGCATGATTTGACAAGTCTAGAATTCCAAAGTAACATTGGTTTTAGGTTTTGTTGATCCATCAAGCTCGACCACCAGATGGCATTAGTGACTTAGGAAACCTGTGGTTGCTTGATTAAAAAGCCAGGAGGTTGGTTGGTTGTGAATCAGTAAGAGTTCTGTTTATCCCCATTTTTCTGACTGCTTCTCTTTCTAAAATGTCATGCCCATAAGAGCTGATATTTGGTCATTTCTGGAAAGAATTTGTAAAGAGTAGCTGAAGTGATGGATGAAGAGTTGGTATAGTTTTGTGGTCTAGCCTTTGCCTCTCCTTCCAACCGGGACCTCAGTTTACCTGGGTCTGAAAAGTCCAGCCCTTTTAAAAGCTCTGCCAACCAGAGCAGTGATGTTCCATGCTTTTAATCCCAGCACCCTAGAGGCAGAGGCAGAGGCAGGCGGATCTCTGTGAGTTCAAGGCCAGCCTGGTCTATAGAACAAGTTCTAGGACAAGCTCCAAAGCTACAGAGAAACCCTGTCTTGAAAAACAAAAATGAAAAAAAGCTCTGCCAAAGAATGTCAGCAAGTAGGGGACAAAATCCCTAGTGTGACAGCTAGAAGAATGAATACCCTACGGGAACTGGAGCCAAACCCAACTCAAGATTCAGATCTGAGCTCTAATTCTATGCGGAGAATAACCTCTGTTGATGAGAGCTCCCTTTAACCTTGGGTAATGTAAACAAATGGGATAAAGTGAGAAGCTGGATCTATAGATGGAATTCACTGGAATTTAAAAAGACTGGGTCTCATGAACATCTGGTGTTAGTGTCTGGTTTTCCTGACAGGTGTCATGGGTAGGAATTAATTTGGGTCCTTACATCACTAAAACTATTGATTCTGAATCCTCTGGATTGGATTGTTTTGTTTTGTTTTTTTGAGACAGGGGTTCTCTGTGTAACAGCCCTGGCTATCCTGGAACTCTCTGTAGACCAGGCTGGCCTCAAACTCAAAGAGATACACTGTTGTGCCTAAAAAGGCCCAGAAGCAAGGCCTAGTGGAACTTCCTGAGCCTGGCTAGAGTTTGGCCACCTGTCTTTGGCCTACTCAGCAAAACTGCCTCTGCCCAGCAACTGCTGACATGATGAAATATTATTGGCCCTTACACCTCACCCCATCCTGAGGTCTCCACACACTTTCTCACCCTGTATAAGTACCTGGTGATGCATTAAAGCGAGACTGCTTTGACAAGTCTCCCGACTTTGTGGTTCTCTCTGATAACTAGGAGAGGGGTCTGAGTCATTGACACTCACCATCCTGCTCAGCCTTGCAAAGTGACCTACTGGACCAGCCCTTCCCACAGCCCTGACTGCCAGAGGACCCGGCAATCCACCTGCCTCTGCCTCCCGAGTGTTGGGATTAAAGGCGTGTGCCACCACTGCCTGGCTTGAATTGGGATTTCTACTGGTCATCCCGATTGAGGCAAGAATCAACTACAGCCTATAGAAATTAAAAGACCAGATTTATGGTTGCCCTGTTAACTCTGTGATCATGGTCATGTGACTTAATATCTTGGCCCTCCCTAAGCTGGTAATGTAAGTATGCTTGACTCCTAGGGCTACACCTCAGTGGTAGACAGCTTACATTGAAGAGGCCTAGGTTTAACCCCTAGTATTTGGGCTGGGGGCAGAGGGGGAGACTGGGGAGATGGTTCATTGGGTAAGAATACATGCTATGTGAACATGAACTTGACTTCAAGTCCCCAATACCCACAAAATCAGAGATTAGGACTGGCAAGGTTTAGTGGGTAAGGTACCTAGCAACCTGAGTTATATCCCTGGGACCAGAGGAAAACTGACTCCTGAAAAATTGTCCTTTGAGTTTCATATGCCCATTTCCCCTCCCCACAGAATTTTAAAAGAGTAATAAAAATAAGTTAGGCATGGCTCTACATACCAATAACCTTGCCAGCACTCTGGCAGGCAAAGATGGGAGGATGGATGAGGCTTGCTGACTGCTAGCTTAGCCCCAGGTTCACTGCGTGACTTCAAAGGAACACTGTGAAGAGTGCTAGAGCAGGACAGAACATTCTCATCTCTGTATGGCCTCTGGCGTGCACACCTGCACACATGTGCATACACCACATGCAAATAAGAAACAAAATATGCCTGAATCTCTTAGGGTATCTCTGTATCAAAGAATCTTGAGTTTTTGTGGATTTCCCTGGGATGGGCTTGCTTCTGGGGCATCTTAGTTCCAGGTAAATCTGAGGGATCCTGTGTGTTCTGAGACCTTATACTAATATTTACTCAAATGAGTCTAAGCAAAAAAATTCACAACAGATTTAGAGCGTGTGCCCTTCCAGCTGAACAACCTAGACAAGATAGATAAAGTATGCTTTGAAAGCTAGATGAGGTGGCATGTGCTTATAAGTCTAGCCTTTCAGGAAGGAGGCTGAGGCAGGAGGAATGTACGAGTAAGGCCTGCCTGCACCACACAGTGTGTGCAAAACCAGCCTGGGAAACAGCCAGAGGCTTTAGCATATATACAAGACCCTGGTTTAATCCCTAGTGCGATGAGGTGCGGTGGGGGGGATAAACAAGCATGCTTCGGTTAGAGCACTCACATTCATCTGATAATTAGCAAACTCTAACCTTGCTCTTTTGAGACAGGATCTCCAGATAGTCTATACTGGTCTTGATTTTGTTGGGTGTAAGAAGGACCTTGAGTTCTTCATCTCCTGCCTCCACCTCCTAAGTGCTGGGGCTACAGGCAAGCAGCACCAAGCCGTTGTTCCTAATTTGTTAAAATGTAAGATTATTTATGCCCCATTTCTGTAGAGGTCTTGTCTTCAGAGACTACAGTCTGTGTACTCTGTAGGACCTTCTTGGTATACCAGTAAACAGAACAAACCTGGCCTTTGTGGGCCTTATAATTAATCTAAGTGAGTCTTGAGTTCTAGGATGTGTTATTTCTGGCCCTGTGGCACTACTAGAAAAAGACTTCCTAACAATTATTAGCATTTTTTCCCTGCGGATATTTATATCAGCATCATTAATAGGTTATATTGTTTGACAGAATTTTACATAGATTGTCAATGTAAAACATATGTAAGTGGGGTTGCTTTTACTGAAGTAGGGAAGAGGCATCCTAGAGTACCTTATTGTTACAGCCTCCTTTTCCCAACTGTAGTAGGTGCCCCCAGGAAACTTTAGCCCTCGTGGAACAGTTTGAGAGCCGCTGTTCACATAGTAGAACAACAGGATTAAGGATCCAAGTTGCAAGGTTTAGACCTGTTCTATTGTTCACTTCTGTATTTCTGTTCAGGCTGAATTCTTCTTTTTCTTTTTTGTTTTTTTAACCTGACAGGCTAATTTAGCTTCTCCCTCAGTTTTTTCATCTTAGGGAGAAGGCAAGAGAGTTTGACAAAATCCCATTTTTCCCTTCCACATCTTTGTTAGGGCTTTGAGAAAGTTTGGGGAAATGTCTATCAAAGATTCTCAGGTCTTTCTAGATACCTCATTTGGAAAATGAATTTTGTCCAATGAGAAAGGGATGACCTGGTTGCAACAAACCAGGTTTCAGCACCGCGGAGAGCTCAAGCTCCTCTCATTCCTTGCCTTGGGGTGTGGAAGGCACAAAACTAGGCTAACCCTTCAATGGCATGGGGTAGACTTGTCCTTCAGCACCAGTTTCTCCGTCGTCTCCACTTGTGACCGGTACAGATTGAATGAGAGATGACATAGTCCAGAATGTCCCTGGGATCTGTCGGCTCTAAATACCAGATTCCTGCCAAGGATTTGACCAGTGTGATGAAGTATTAGTGAAATACGACCCTTTGCTCAGCGCTAACCTCATTTATATTGTTATGCACAATATTTTTACCATTGCTTGAGAAAAATCCTACCCTGGCTTTTCTTACAGGTCCTCAAGGAGACATGCCTTGGCCTCTTACTGCCTGGGCATGCAGAGAGACATTGCTGGCTCCCTGCCCAGTCTTGCTTTGTGTTCCTTTGATCTCATTGTTCAGAGGGTCTCAGAGAAGCCCCAAGAGCCATGCCTTTGCATGTTTAAGCTATTGATGCCCTGTAAGAAGTGTATTAAAGGCCCATCTTGAACAAATTTGGGTCAATAGGTGGCAGTAGTCACTGAGTCCTGAGGCCCTGACACCCCCTAAACACAAGCAAATTTGATAGCCCTTATATTTAAGGATGTGATAAAGGAAGTCACATTGAAATAAAAATGGAGAGAAAAGCGGCCCCCTTCTGTGGGGTCCAGGAAAGGCTAGGTGACCTCTGAGGAGTGTTGTAGGGGAGAGATTGAATTCAGCAAGTACTGGGCACTGAAGGAAAGGCCTGGCTTTGGGGTTAGGGGAGCAGTTCTAAAATGTGGGTGTTTGGGTTTCTTCCTGCTGGGATAAGGCTGTGTCCAATGAGGACCAGAGCAGAAAAGATAGAGTACGTGGGGAACTAGAAAGGGGGGAGGGCGGGGGAGAGCTGAGTGAAGGGACGGTGGAAGGGGTGGGCTGTGGCGGGCTGCAGTTGGAGGAGGAGGGGGAGGCTGCTGCGGCGTGGGATCTGTCTAATGGGGGATGGGAGGGGGAGATATCGGTCTTTGCTGCAGCTGCATTGGTTCCCCTCCCCCACCTTCCCAAGGAGCCAGAGCAGCGCTGGCAAATCTGTCTTCATGTATTTATTATTATTAAAAATGGGACGGAGCCTCCTCGCTGGAAGCACAACAAATACTGCTGATCCCCTTTCTCCCTCCCCTCAGCACAGCCTTTGCGTCTTCTCTCCCATTTCTCCCTGTCCTCCACCTTGGCTCTTCTGA